ATACAATTCTCCAGCTCAAAAATGTATGTACAATGAAAGACTTTTTAACAAGCCAAAGTAGTCGCCCTCTACTTCTTGAGGGTAAGGAGACCGGGCCTGTAGGGGAGACGGTCGTAGTCGCCACCGGAGTTGGGGTTGCGGCCCTGGTACAACAGCTGCAGGTTGCAAGGGTCGACAGTCATGGTCTCGTCGTTGGTGACCTTGACCAAGTCTCCGTGGGAGATGTCGTTGGTCCAGGTGGCACCGCTGTTGGCCTTGCCGGCGAAGGGGTTCTGCTCGGTAGCAGCGTTGGGGGTCCAGCTGCCGCCGAGGCTGGAGGCAGTGAAAGAGCGGAAGTAGCGGCCACCAGAGCCGACGGCCTCGACGATCATGAGGTACTTCTTGGAGGTTCCGCCCTTGACGGTGTAGACCTGGACAGCCTCGAAGAGGTTGTTCTGGGTGTCGCTCATGACGACGGTGGAGGCGGTGCCGAAGTTGCCGGGGAAGTTGCCCTGGGGCATGCTGGAGCGGTAGATCTTGCCGTTGTCACCGGCGAAGAACAGGTACATGTTGGTACCGTCACCGATCAGGGTCTGGTCAATGGGACCAGTGCTGGAGCCAGAGATGGTTCCAGAGAAGAGGGGCTTGGCCGCACTCCAGCCGTTGGCGTTGGTGGGGTCAGAGGAGGTCTTGTAGGAGAAGGCGGTAGGTCCCCACTGGTAGGCAATGACCCAGGTGCTCTTGGGCTTGAAGTAGAAGAGAGTGGGTGCGACGAGGCCCTGGTTCATGGCGTTCTGGGGAGCAGATGCGAGCTCGTTGAAGTTGGAGACGAGGCCGAAGTTCATGGAGCCGTACTTGGAGCCGGTGTCGTGGTTGGTGGCGTAGACGAGGTGCTTGCCGTTGACCATCTGGGTGGTGAAGTCCTTGAGGTTGGCCCATCCGGCCTTGGGCTGGGCAAGAGCGTTGGATGAAGTCCACTTGTAGCTGGTGGGAAGCTGGCAAGTCTGGGCCGAAGCAGTTGCGCCCAAGAAGGCGACTGCGACAGCGGGAAGGCTGAGGTCGGTAGGAGTGAAACGCATGGTTGCTGGTGTGTGGAGAGACTGTTGAGTGAGTGAATGAGAGACTTGATTGTGTGGTGAGGCCTTACAGACGGACAGCAACAGGATACTTATACCTCCAAGCCTGATGTCGGACCTACCAACCCACAACGTACACAGCCTGTCACATCGTCTCCACCAGCTCATTGTCTCGACCGATCACATTGGCCTCGGTCATAGCTCATCCCGGCGCTGGAAATTGATCTCCATACCGTGGGTCTGTTTACGGCGTAGTATATTGTTCCGTTGTTGTGGGTATATTAATGACATGGTGTTTCAAGGGAATTGGCGTACCTGCGCGGACACCAATTCTCCGTAATGCGGGGATTGCCCGGCAAAGGGATGCCATGCCGTGCAGAAGCCCGGTTGGGGAAGGCGCCAAGTCGTGGTGGGTAATGCTTGATTTCCATGCAGGCTTATGCGGCAACTAACGGTCTGATCGCTAGGGCTGAGGGCTCTATTTTGACGTCTTTCAGTCTCTGCGATTGGTAGCAACAGGACAATGCGACCATTTTGTTTCAATATTTAGACGCGACAGAGGGTGGACAGCTGTGTTGATTGCTGGAAACAAAATCTCGGCGGTATTCCCACAAATGTGAGTGGTAGTTAGCTTTGTGATACAGAAACTGCCACCGGGTGTTTACCAGAATCCACTAATCGCGCCACTCAAGGTTTAGTGCCCGCTGTGACCAGATGTCAAAACACCGTGAAACACCCGGTGGGCGGAATCTAGAAGCAGGTGCAGAAATGTCGGTGGCGCAACAATGCTGGTGGTGGTCAGGCCAGCGTTTGAACGATCACAGGCAGCTCAGACGGGATCTTAGCGAGGTTGGAGTTGTTGGCAATGCTTATGCTGCGCATTGATACCTATCTTCCTGACACTGACACCACTCCTACGTCAATGGATGTGGATCTTTGTTTCGTTTCAACTGCGCGTAGCACAGGGGAAGATAACGACCGCTTTTGCACCGCCCTGGAGTCGGTGAGTGATCTCGAAGCAGTTCATTCCGGTCGCGCATAGACCATGAGCCTACTGTAAGATTGTACGGAGTGCGTTCTAGATGGAGAGGACGTGGTCGCCGAGTAGACCTACCACCTACGCTACTGAGGCTCTTCCAAGATTCGTATGTAGACGAGGCGGTAGGGTCGGTAGTCCAGTCGACTCGTGGAATTTCTTTGCCCGTGGGTATGAACAGCGGTGGTGTGTGGCGCCACCGACAGTGCTGGCAGCCAAGTCACTTAGAACGTTGCCGAGGAATGGAAGCCGACCAGATGACCGACTCCATTTGGACTAGTAGTAGAAGTCGTAAGCTGAGCGCAAGGGTCGGCACGAGGACTAGGGTTGTATATTGAGCAAGTGAGCCCCTTACCGTGTTGACAGTTATGGGGACTTCTTGCGACAGCATCTCTGCGCTGGAAATCTTGACTGTGTGTTGACTGTATCTTAACACATAACTCGACGGATGTCATCGTACATTCGGAAGCACGGAGCCTATCTTATGGGTACCTCCGAATCCACTGTACCCCATACCAAGCCTGGAGGAGCCGTGTAGGAAGCTGGGCATCCCAAGACACTAGGCATCTCCCGTGGCTGCAGGAAACTTTCCCAAGACGGATTTTAGCATGGTTCCAGCGCTTAAATGCCCCGTGGGGAAGTAATATAGTTGTCGGCAGTCGCGTGGTTGTGACGGTTTGTGGCGTCTTGCCCAGAGACGGAATATTCAACGCCGCCTGTTGCTTCCATGCTGACACTACATTGTAGTGTGTAGGCTAACTTGACAAGTCTGTTGAGGCTTGTAAAGCAAACATCGAGATTAATTCTACGGTGCATTCTGTGTCCGTCGAGATGGCAAAATGTCCATATTGCCTGGGGTTTGTATGTACGGGATATAAGGACAAGGAATATTTAGCCGTTGTGAGTTTGCGCAGGGACAGCAATGAGCTGGTCGACTAGGAGAACTGCACATTCCGATCGAGACGTCGGATGTACAGTATATGCGAGAGGCGTGATCGAGATAAGGAAGGAGTGCGAGTTGTTGTCCGAGTTGTAGACGAAGCGAGTGCTGACTCAGCCACTTCCCTATTCGGAATGCGTACGCTGAGGAAGTAGCGAACTCAGCGCATCCTCGTTGCTCACTTCTGACGCTGCAAGCTGTCAATTTAAGACTCTTGCTTGTTCAGAATGGATGTCATGTTGTAATTGGCAAGGTCGTTGTATTATTAGCATATGTATAATGATATGGCATTACAGGCATCGCATACCCATCTATTTAGCCTCATCATGAGCCCCCCTCACTGAAGTTTGAAACTGCCGGTAACAATTACACTGTGTTGGAAGATGGCAGGATCGCAGAAGATCTTACTACCGCCTAAATCCTGCAGCCCCACCAGCAACGACGGAAAGTGCTTCTCTAGTACCCCAGCCTTGTTTCTGGATGAGTTGAGGCCCCTCAAACTCAGATGTCTGAGTACTGGCGATTTGGGAGAAATTGGAGTCTTTGTGAAGCCATACACGTCTTTATCCATGATCAAATGTGCCCAGGACTGTGAACGCAAGGTATTTCGGAAATGTAGGAGTCAGAGGGCCGTATACTACAAAGCTGTCAGTTGAAGAAGCGTGGTGGAAGTTGATATACGCACTGCCATATAACGCTCAATGTATATATCCACTCAGGCATCTTGCCCATGCCAGACGAACTCCCACACGCGCGTCTGCGCGACTCCGCTGAGTACCCCGCGCGTGTCCCGTGTGTCTCATCCGTGCCGTGAACGCCTCAAAGATAGACGCCATCGTCACCCTCAGGCGCCGGCGCATCGCCATTCCTCTGCTCTTCCGCCGCAGTGCCGTTTGTCGCCGGAGCCACACTGCCGTTCGTGACCGCACCATCAACCTTCTCCTCTTCGCGTGGCCTCCACGGCAGACCCCTCACGTCCTTGACCTCATTCTTGATCGCCTCCCTGCGCTCCTCAAACCGCTTCATGACTTGCTTGTTCTCCATCAGCGCCTCGTAGCAGTCGCGGTCGTCGTTCTCGCGCGCAAACTCTTCGAGCTGCTTGTTGCTCGATTCGAGGTGTGTGAGTTGGTTGGTGAGCTCGGAGTACTTGGCGTAGAGCGATTCGACGGATAGGTCTTCGAGGGCCTTGGAGAAGCGCGTGAAGGTTATGGGGGCGGCGTCGGCGGACATGTTGGGTGGTAGTCCGAGAGGAACGCGTGGTCTGAAGGTTTATTGGGTCCGCAGGCAGTAGCCGGGACGTCAGTTGGACTGTAAAGTCGGGGTGTATAAGGTTTGGTGGGTAAGGTTGCGGCGTAAGTCTGTGTGGAACATGACCGCATCTGGTGGGGCAAAAGAACGAAGCTACCCCGCCATACTGCTGAGCTGTTGCCTGAGCCCACTGGATCATCCACCGATCTTGTGAACGGGCGCCTAGAACCTGCTGGTGTTTGGCATGAGTATATAGTGTAATCATTTCTTGGAAACTGCATCAATCAGCAAAATAGCCGATTTGAAGGCACTTTGGCGTACGCTTGACCCATCCTACTCCTCAAGTAACGCTTACTAATCAAAATTTCAGGGAGTGGTTAACGCGCTGGCCTGCTAGTCCTTCACTGGAAAGTTAGCCAGTTCCTTCGGGAGCGTGTGTTCGAATCACACAGGTGTCGCAACAAACCAAATTTTTTGCACGTCTAGGGGACATTCCGCGAGGAGATCCTCTCTTTTTGCGTACAAGCTATCACTATAGCACCCAGGCAGCTCAAAGCCCAAAGATACACCTAAGAGTTGTCCAGCGTTAAGAAGTACGTTTTTGCACCTCCCGTAAACATAGGATATACCAGCCTGCCGCTAATATACATAATTCGGTCTCTCAAGGCGTGTGTGCTACGTAGAATATGATACGTGTCTATTGCTTTGATACATACATCCACTATCTTCCAGGATTCATACCAGGCATCAGATCCGGCTTATCGAGCACCATACCCCGGAGCAAGACCAACTGCCTCAACCCCTCCCAATCGTCTCCCTCTTCATCACCCCGTCTCCACACTTCCTTGAAACCCCATGCGCATGCAATACGATCCAACGCCGCCCGCTCATCTTCCCTTATGTATCGATCCAGCAGCGGTACACCAGGCCGCCAGACCACTCGGTCGTGGTGATCGTTGTATGTTGTAAGGGCGACGAACCCGAGCGTGCCGGTGCACAAGACATACGTGCTCATGCCCATGAAGGCGTAGAGCTTGAAGGTCCATGGATCGATGAAGCCACTGTAGACGGAGAGCTCTTGGGCGATCATGTAGAGAGCGAGTGGCGTGAGGCCGACGAGTACCCCCGGTAAGCCCATCTTTGTGAGTATGCGATGCCGCCGCCATGCAGGAGCGCGGTAGGTGTGGTCGACGACATCGAGGGCCAGTGCTAGGTCTTTCGCGTCGATGGCGGCCGTGAGCGCTTCGTCAGCGAGATCAGCTGGAATGACTTGCTTTGCGGACTTGGGCGAGGGCTTGGAGAACTTGGGTGGTGACGAGCCTTCCACTGGGACTGGTTTGTTGGCGTAGAGGTAAAGTGCCTCGGGAATGGTCTTTGGCCGGGCGAGTAGTCGCTGCAGGTGGATGTATATCGCGAGGACGTTCGGTGATAGGAAGACTTTCTCGTGCTTTAGGAGATGCTCGGCGAGCTTCGAAAGATACGATGGCGAGGGCAGGGCATCCAGTCCCAGCATTTTCGAGCTCTTTCTCTTCGCCGTCTCCGCCCTCTCGTCCCCATCCAGTCCAGAGAGTATGGCGCCCGCTGAGCTCTGCCTTATTGCCGCCTTCTGTAGTTGAGGCTGGCGTGCGCGTATGGCGATGGCTTCTTGCGCAATACTGTCCAGTCCTTCAAACGCCTCCATTATAACGTGCTCCTTCTCGACCTTGGGTGAATTGAATATTTCCTGTATTCGGGCCTCCACCTGGGCAAGGTGGCTCTTCAACGCCGCAATTCTGTCGGATGTGTGTAGGCCGCCATCGTCGCGTGCGTCAATCGCTGCTGCCGTCCGAGGTGTTGTCGCGATGCTTCGTAATGATATACGGGGTGTCAGAGTCGTGGTTCGCGCGTTTTGCCGCCGTATCGAGGGTGTTCGGAGGGAGGATGCGGAGAGGAATGCGCGGCGGCTTGCAGGCTTCTGCAGTATGTAGTCACACAACTGACATACTGGCCGCGACTGTGCGCGCATTGGCAGATTGCCAGGCTTCATGGCGCTGGTGGCGGTATCGTGGGATGCGATCACCAAGTCGTCTGCCGGGCACGTTGCCTAGGTGTTTGGGTGGGAAGTGATTTAAGTTGCTTATCGATAGGACCGCGACTGGAGGTTGGACACTCGAGTCCTAGCAGTATCACGTAGCCTCCACGCTTGATTGGCAGCTGCAAGCAACTTCACTTTATTAGAAATAACTATCTCAAGGGTTGATCCGCTGTCCTGAACGCGGAACGAGCCAGGGTAACACGGGGCGTCGAGACGATGCAACGTCCACCTGTACCCGAGGCCTACAGCTATTATCCAGAGCTCCGGTCACGATAGGCGACATCCAGGGACGTGTACGAATGAAAAGGGAGCCTTGTACCCTTGCAGTCGATATTTACTGCGGATGAACGCCTTTTGATGAGTCACCCGCAGGTGTGGCTAACGAATTGTACCTCGCCTCGTAACGACTGCCCTTGCCTCTACATCATCTGCGCAACGACCTCACCAACGTCTGTGGGTCTACGGTTCGTTATAATCCAGACGCGCCAACAATGTATCAGCAATTCGAGCAAGCACGAGAGTGCGCTGAACGCGATCTAAAGCAGTAAGTGTTGCGACAGCCGTCAGCTTCCAAAGTTAATTACAGCCATAGAGCCAGCCTCAACTGTAAGGTCCACCTCCGGAATACCGCATCCGAAGATACCGTGGATGAGAGACTGCGTCGCTATGACCACTTGATAGATGTTCTACATGCAGCAATTATTCGCTACACGAACGCTGCAAACATGGACGTCGTCGCAGGTGTTTTGAACTTACCGCGAGAGCTGCGGGATAACATCTACATGCAGTTATGGCAACCTGACGAGAAACACGATCCGACTCGCAGTGTAATCTGTTGGTGGGAACTGTTCCATGAGCCTTGGTTCAGCGTAGACCACGATCCCGACACACCAGCAGGGTTATCAATGCTGTACATGAACCTTCGTCCACCTCACTTCATCGACAAGACTTTCGTAGGCCCTGTGTTCGCTAAAGAGGCCCTCAAGCTATTCCAAGATATCGTCGGCAAAGACTTGCGCCCAATTGACGACAAGGATCCCGTAGCTGAATGCCTATTGCTCGACACTTCCGTGGCGGACTTTGTGAGGAGAGACGCATTTGGTGTTGGATTTACCATGGAAGAGTTGGCAAGGAATTTGGATCTGCGTGTGACCTTCCAGTGTGACGCGCTGACTGACAGCGAATTCTCCGAGATTCAAGAGAGCAAGACACACGATCAAGGCTCGCGCACGGCGGATGCAACGGCTTATACACAAGAAGACTATCTTTCAGAGATTAATGACGGCGTCACGGCTTTGCTGGACATTTCACATACTGAACGTGTTACTACTCACAACGAACACCGTCGCCATATGCAGACCCGAGCTAGAGTTGTTACCTTGGCTATAAGACAAGAAGAAGACATGGGCCCGGGCTGGGATCATGATTCGCTGTTCCTGAAACTTGTCGCTCGCACCTACCATGGGCTGAGAGCGAAAGGCTTCGTAGTCAAAGTCGAGTATCATAGCGAAGAGGTCGATCTCAAGGTATTGTTTGAGGATGACGTCTGGACATGGACGGAGGATGAATGGGAAATCAACCTCTTTAGAAAGAACATGATATCATACGCACAAACGTCCGGAAATTCACCCCAGAGGTACGTTTGGGCACAACTCAGGGCCCATCTGTTTCGACCCCCAGAGCAAGACGATCTCACCGCATGATTGTATGACTGCGTGCGATGAATATAGATGCATCAGGCGTGCATCAAATGCTCGAGATAGACTTGGAAAAGGGCCATCTCGCAGGTCTGACATACGCCTGGCCAGCCAACAATGGACCTGCCACGTTGATCCCGACGCATGTCGGGTATCTTTGATTCAGTTCGTCAGCTATTCGGCTTGGACGGCGAGTCTGAATCCTTTCCCGGCTCCTGGATTTCGCCCGACAAATTTCCACTCCCGCTCCTACTACCGCCGTCAACCTCGCTGCTCACACTGTCCCTACTATCTCCAAACGTCGCGGCAAACTGCACGAGCATATGACCATGCTTCACACTATCAACAATCTCTCTTGGATCCACACCAGCTCTGATTCTCGCCAGGATCTCACTCGCCTCCTCATCCGGCAGCGTCTTGAGCAACTCGAACAACTTCTCCAGGTCTTGATGTTTACGTTTCGATTGAGTATTCTCCGTTTCCGTGTACTGGCAGAGAGAGTCGCGGGACGTGCATTCACTGCAACTGGGTCGGTCGCCGTTACACTAGGAGTTCAAAAGATCAGAAGGCTACTTTGCCGATGATGCTTTATATACATGCAATGTACTTGGTCGGTTGGTACCTTGGTTTTACGACTTCTGCAGGCTGCACAAGCTAGAGAGACGCGAGCTCGCTTCGGTTGCGATGGTGGAGCCTCGACTCTCGGTGAGGCTGCAGGGAGGAGAGGGCGTAGAGGGCGTGCCGCAGCACTGTCGCCGGAAATAGCTGGACTGGTCTGTTGCGGTTGCATTACGCACGAGACGGCGCCTAACAGGGGTTGCTTCCTTCTTCTGCTTAGCAGAAATCTGCAAGCAATCTGCCAATCCAAAGGAAGGGGAGGCTTCAAGACAGATTCCTACGCGTGCATAGGGAAGAGAGGATAGCATACAAACAGTCGGGGGCAAAAAAGGTGCGAAGAATTGAGAAGTGAAAGGGAACCGGAGAGTGCACAGAAAGGCACAAACCAGTTCAAAGGAACATTCGGAAATTGGATTGACTGTACTTGTACAACTAAAGCCGACTTGGTTTTATCAGAAAACAATACGACTCACCCTCGCAAAACATCAATATTACCCACTCGCTCCGCCCGCTTGCGGACCAAACGTCTTCTCGATTCGAATTCCTCAATCTTGCCACAGCTCTTGCGATCCCTCACGGATATGTAAGAAGGTCGCTAACCACGCTATCCGCCGATGGCGTGGCCTGTAGCGTTGCCTTTCGCCACCGGGTCTTGGACCCTGCATACGCATTGTTGCAGATGAACTAAACCCGAAGAGTTTACCATGTGGTTTTTCACTTCTTGGTCGCCCCAAATGCGATTGTTGGGATGGGGTTGTTCCTGGTTATGGGTTTTTCGGCACTGTTAGCTGGTAGTTTGGCATGTGGGAAATGCGGTCCGTGGAAATGGGTCGCGGTTGATTTGCCCGATGTCAGTTGTATTGGCCGGTAGGTGTGGGTGCGTGTGCCGCAGTGGGGTTTCGAACTACCAGGTACTGCGACTACTACTCATGGTGTTGTGGTATATCGCCGATTGTAAGTAATCTTTGCGACCTTCTGGTACTGGCGAGGGTGTGTTGGCGCTGATGCTAGGTTATAAGCGCCGGTTATAGGCATTTGCTCCTGCCTCGCACTGCCTAGTCATAGCATGAGTTTTCATGGGACTTGAGACACTACACCTATATCCGCAGTTCGTTCTAGCTTTCTGCTAGACTAATCTTACACCCTTCTCGGATGACAGGCTTGGTTCGGATCGGAAGCTGCTGATCTGCAAGACCGAAACCACAGCTCGCGAGATTTACCTACCTAGTCGTTGTTCCCGCAGCCAGTGACACAAACAACGAGAAGGATGCATGCACAATAGATTGAAACCGGTATCATCTAGACAAGAAGACTCCAAGCTGCAAGCGCCAACAATTCCAGATCCACTACAACAAAGTCTCCCACCAGCATAATCGTACCAGCAACACCCCTTTCAATCACCACCTGCATCATGCTATGCCCACCACATTGGCCACACCCACGGAATCCGAATCCGAACCAATCCCCTGCACCGATCCACACCCATCTCGAACAGGCAATCCAATTGCGTCAAAGAAAAAAAGGTGAACCCATCCCACACCGGCGAAATGTTCCGCGGAGCACCGCCCCAAATCGCGATCACCATCCTATTCCCAAGACCGCAGGCACACTACGCGAGGATGCAGCAATCGGTTCGGGAGACAGGTTGGGCCAATGAGAAGCTAAGATTGCGTCGGGACGACGCCCTAATGGAGCGCGGGAGTTCGTGCCGCTCTTCGCTCACAGACACATGGCGAGGGGAGCTAGGGCCAAGGTGGAGTTTGCAGAAAGTAGGCTGTGGGGACCTGTTGTGGCCTGTTTGTGGGCCGATGGTTGATGGGTTTCTCGATGTGTTTGCCTTCGTAGCGTGATGTCTGCGATGGCGAATGCTATGACTTGGACAGAGGCCGGCTTGGCTGCTTGACGAAGCTGGCCGCCTTGTCACGGTTGGGGTGGTACTGATTGTTTGTAAGCGCAGGTGTCGTTAATTGTGGCCATGCTTATGGTTTTGAGACCTTGATGGATAGCAATACTAGAAGGAGACACGTACTGCTCGGGCATCTATGTTATGGTATTAGTGTAGAGCAGGCCAAGAATTCCACTATACGAGCTTTCGATTGTTTGAGTAGTTCGTTGCGATTCAGCGAGTCAGTATTCATTATAGGTCGCGAGTCAACGACCTGGAAATTTCGGCGTTACTATGCTATAGAATCCTCGTCACAGGACATGAAATATCTTCCTGCAATATTGTACCCCATTCCGCTTGACCTGAATCATCACCACCTCAATATTCAAAATCATCATCAGCACTCGGGCCCTTGCTTTTGCTGACACTCTCCTGCCTCTGGTACATCTCAGCAATCATGCGACTGGAGCTTGCTTGATCAGGCTTCTTGTCGTCTCTTTCCTTGATGAATCGGGGGAATCTCAGACTGACGCCCTTGCCGCCACCAGACACCTCATCTGCGGCAGCCCTGTATCGTGGAGACAGGGTTAGATCGGCCGTCTTGACTTCCCAGACATAGCGTGGCTCAAACCAGACATCGGGCTGGTCTTTGTTGCCGGTGGAGTGGGTATAGAAAGGTTTAGGACGGTCGATAACAATCTCGGAGAGCGTCTTGTGGAGAGTCTCAAGAATAGCTTCCGAGAAACCGGTAC